GACAAGTATAAGAGGTGCTTTAGTTTTAAATAGATACACTACCATTCACAAGTTTACAGTCCAAGATTTTAAAGCCTGGTGCTCACCAATGCTGCATTTGATTAAAAAAAAAAAACAGTAAAATAGTATTATTTTTATTTATTTTAAAATGTAATTTATTCTTCAGTGTTACATGATCCTTTAAAAATCATTCTAATATGCTGATTATGTGCTTAAGAATCACTTCTTATTGTTATCCATGTTGAAAACTAATAATTTTATGCAAACTGATATTATTTTTTCCAAGATTCTTTGATGAATAGAAAGTTCAAAAGAACAGCATTTATTCTTGGGGGGGGGACATGGCCTAATGGTTAGAGAGTCAGACTCGTAACCCAAAGGTTGCGGGTTCGAGTCTCGTACCGGCAGGGATTGTAGGTGGGGGGAGTGAATGTACAACGCTCTCTCCCACCTTCAATACCACCTTGAGCAAGGCACTGAACCCCCAACTGCTCCCCGGGCCCCGCAGCAAAAAAAAAATGGCTGCCCACTGCTCCGGGTGTGTGTTCACTGCTGTGTGTGTGTGCACTTTGAATGGGTTAAATGCAGAGCACTAATTCCAAGTATGGGTCACCATACTTGGCCACATGTCACGTCACGTCACTTTTCTTTTTATTTATTTGAAATTGTTTTGTAATAGAAATGTGTTTTCACTTAAAAATGAAAATTCTTAAAAAGCCACATTGCTTTTATATTTTTTATGGAACTTTCTGGAACTTGATAGACCTAGGTCAGATACGGTTGAGCTGCGATATTTCAAAAATGTCTGATGGAAAAATAATGCTATATGGGTTTGGAACGACATGAGGGTGAGTAAACAATGACAAAAGTATTCCTTTAAGCTTATAATAAAAATGACCCTTATTTTTAAGAAAATAAAAGCCGCAAGATAATGTTTTTAGTACTAAGGGAAAAAAGTCAATTAAATGTACCATTTCTGAACATGCACTATAATCTAGGTCAAACAAAGGTCTGTCTCTCAATGTAATCGGTACTGCCCGCCGGCCATTCGGGTCATTAGCAAGTTCATTAATGAAGCGGAGACCAGCTTCAGTCGGCTGTGACCGTGGACTCAACCCCAGCAGCCGGCCTCCCTAGACACATGCTCGCACGCACACACACTCCTCATGAACCCACATATCTTTCTTTGCTACACTTTCCGTTCTCTGATCTTATATACAAGCACACACATGCAAAATATGGCTTAATGTGCTCCTTTTCATTTCCATAACAGCACTATCACAGCACCTGGAGCTCTCCTGCGATACGGGCTTTAAATGTCTGCTCCTTCCTGCCTACACAACACAAGTTCAGAGACTTTGAGGTTCAGAACATTTCTATTATAATTTAATGCGTTAATAAACAGCTAAAATTACAAATGTGCTTACAATTAAAGTAAGAGTTAACATCCAACAATAAAAAAAAAAAAATCATAATTCTCACCCTCAGACCATCCAAGATGTAGATGAGTTTTTTTCCCCATCAACACAGATTCGGAGAAAGTTTGTATTACATCACCCTCACCAGTGGATGCTCTGCAGTTCATAATTCTCACCCTCAGACCATCCAAGATGTAGATGAGTTTTTTTTCCCCATCAACACAGATTCGGAGAAAGTTTGTATTACATCACCCTCACCAGTGGATGCTCTGCAGTGAATGGGTACCGTCAGAATGAGAGTCCAAGCAGCTGATAAAACATCCAAATATCAACAAGTAATCCATGCGACTTCAGTCCATCAATTAACTCAATGAAATAGTCCATCCCCTGTTATCCTCTCACATCAAAATCCACCGACATACTTGTTTAGAACGGTTTTGGACTGTTTTTGCTTGTAAACGGTGCTTGTTCTGTGCATATTTCTCTCCTGCTTCAGATGAGATGAGTTTTTCATTGGAGAAAGACTTACAAACACACAGCTTTTCATTTCAAAAGACATTAATTAATGTACTGGAGTGATTTGGATTACTTGTGGTTATTATATATTATTATTATATTATTACTATGATGTGTTTTTATCAGCTGTTTGGACTCTCATTCTGACGGCACCCATTCACTGCAGAGGATCCACTGGTGAGCAAGTGATGTAATGCTAAATTTCTCCAAATCTGTTCTGATGAAGAAACTCATCAACATCTTGGATGACCTGAGGGTGCGTAAATTTTCACTATTCCTTTAACTCACTTTTTCCACTTTGGTGCTCCTGTTATGAGAAGTGGAACAAGTTAATGGTCATTTCTTGTAAGCAAGTGAGTCACTCATAAAATGTAAGTTTGAATGGGTTATTGTGTCATTCCTGAAGAGTTTTTTACCAAACGTAAATGTAGAAGAGCAGGGACTTGGAGCACGTTTAATGCTTCAGTCTGGTCTGTGTGTGAAGGGAAAAGAAAAATGTGCGAGAGAATGAAAGATGATGAAAGCGACGCACCCTGCCTCACGGCTGTCTGCCTAGCTCACAGTGCCCATATCACATTGCTGTTGTTTTCTCACACAGGCCTGCGAGAAGCGTCACACGGACATCTAGAAGCTGGAAGACTCACGACCAGAGCTAGTTTATCAAAAACAAACAAAAAAAATGCATTCTTACTGAGAAACTAGGCAGACAAACTGAAAGTCCAGAGCCTTGAAACACCAAATCGCCTTAAATTGCTTGGTTTCAGCAGCACCTCAGTGGAATAATTACCATAACATGGCTGGAGTCGCCAATCTGTTTCACTTCCACTAGTCTGCGTCCAACTACCGGCAGCTGTGCAAACCCATCACTGGCAGCCCGAAGGCGCCTCTCGCGCTACAATCCGCTCACTGTAGAGTCTGACATTGAGCTGACCCAGTCAGACGTACTACAGGTGGGATCTGTCTGTTTAGCATTTCCTATCAAGTTCTACTAGAGCATTTGGCAGTATTTTGTGCAACACAACCATTTGCGAACAGTGGGAGCGATGCTTCTTGGAAAAAGATGAGTCACCAATTAAAAATCACAGATTGCTGAACTTTTTCAAATCGTAGATGAAAATGGCCCCTGCTGTGTTAAATTTCATTACACAGTCTTCAGTGAAATGTCACAGCAATGGGGAAAAACGTAATTTAAAATTTTAAAGACCAAAAAAAAATCCACACTCATTAGCATTCTAGTTATGATCACACTACAAAAAGGTGGGCCAGTTTTCATACTATATTTTGTTGACTTCTCAAAATCATCTGAACAACATCACACTGATTTGCACAGTTTTGTCCTTCCAGCAAATCTCACTAGTGTTTCCAAGCATAAACCGTTATCGTGCTGGGCCATGCAACCACAGACATGTTTATTTGTGCTGTGGATGTAACCATCATCAGTTTGGCCATACAAAAGAAAGGCAGACTCCCTTGACAGGCCACTGAATAGGGCTCATTGCCCACATTTCCATTACAAAGGACCAGACTCCAAATCTGACTTGAGTCTGAACTTGCTGAATGACCAGCTTCCCATTGTGCTCTACAATAAATATGTACTTGCCAGGGGTTATAAAACACAACATTAGTTTTCTAGAACCAGTAAAGTATGTGAATACATTAAGAAATTGGCAATATTTTAGGCCTTATGGCTTCGCAATATAGCAATGGGGTCGATGAGGACTGTTTTCGGCAGTTTAAATTCACAATGCAGTTTAATGTTAAGAAACACCACCAGACTGTTTTGTAAACAGGGTATACCACAGCAAACGATGTACTGTCAACAACATTTATGATATAATCTAACATGTAACTACAAACAAGGCCGGTCATTTTTAAATGAATCACTGGAATTCATGCTGAGTTACATGTCACAACTAGTAATGGGAAATTAGACTAATTTCTGTGAATCTGTTCTGTTCTTAAAAGTTCTCTTTGTTATTAAATCTGTATAAAATGAAAAATCAAAGACACATGTCAGTCATCAACAATGAATGGCAGTAACGCATCACGGTAAAAAAAATAATCATGAGGATTTACCAACACCTTGTGTATTTTCAGTTTTTTTTATTTGTTTTATTATTTGAAGTAAAAAATGAGCAAGAACATCGCATAAATAAGCGATTCTGCGATTTATTTAGGTCATGACGAATCGCTTTTTTTTCTAAATCAAATACCTATCATTTGACGTCATGACGTATTTACGTCATTATGTGGTTCCTGACACTCTGGTATGGTACATTCTGCGCAAACACTCGGCTCGTTTTTCGTTTAATTACGAATCGACCATATCCGAAAGAGACTGTTCCCGGTTCGATTCAACGAGTCATTCGCGAACAAATCCTTCAGACCGGTAGTGTGAATGTGAACCGGTTCAAACGATTAAATGAAAAGATTCGAATCAGAAGCGCTCGTCACAGAATAGGAGGACGTGGCTCGTCACAAACCACCGGGGAAGTTTGGCGTCGCAGGTTAATAAATGTAAGTTTTGCAACATCTGACGTCAGTTGTGTGAAATACTAGAGGTTTGAACATACATGCCATAATTCATAATTAATAGTTGCAACGTAACGTAAATACATGCATTTCAATTATTAGGGACAGCAGGCCTGTATGTTAACAAGGAAACGTGTGTGTGTGTGTGTGTGTGTGTGGAGAGAGAGAGAGAGAGAGCGAGAGAGTGTGTGTGAGTGTGTATTTGGCTATATTAAAAAAGGCACAACAAACACTGACGCGGTTAATAGACGAACCTCAAAAATTATATATACAAACATCAATTATGTTCCGCGAATGAAGCGCAATTCAAAATACAACACTAACGTTAGTTATATAGGAATAAGAAATGATTTACGGTACAGATGACTGGTTTACAAACCCCAGACACAGCGCCATGATGAGCGCCAGGCTGCCCCGTCCAGCACAGCACAGCCTCAGCCTGGCCACACTCTCTCTCTCCCCACACACACCAGCAGCCTATCAAATAAATAAATACACACAGAGAGGGGTGACACACACAAACACCCGACTCACCATCGCCGACCGCTATTAATCCACACAGGGCGAGCAGCGCTAGGGCAGTTCGTCGTGGAAGCATGACTGCAAGATTCCCATCTCTTAGCATTAAAGCGTTCGTTGTGTGATATTGACAAGCGAGCGAGACTTCCAACACGACCACAAACCAACCATACACCGCCTGCTGCCAGGCTCGGCTAGACAATAGTGGGTTAAAGGGGTGTGCCTAGTTTTAAAGGGGAGGGCTCCGCTGCCTGGGCTCCTTTGTTGTGGTGAAATGTCTCTTTACAAGGACTCATGTGTGAATTGACCCGATGGTCCTGTCTGTAGTTGAGGTCTCATCAGGATTGTTTTTTATTTATTCTGTGTCATATGTTATGTTCCAGACATTTAGCTTGTGGCTTTAACATGGACGAATTAAGGCAAGTAACACTGATTCTTGAACACTGGGTCAAAACAGTTTACAAATCAGGAAAATAAAAAAAGATTATAAATCAAGGAATTATTTTGGACTAATCTGTTCAGAATGTTCAGATGTATTTACACTTTTTTTTTTTTTGTACAAAAAGTGTTTTTTCCGTTGTCTGCTTAAAATGTGGGTCAACGCTGGCAGATACCAAGGTTTTCTATATCTATTATGGATAATATTAGAATTAAAATAAAAAAACAATGTAATATTATATAAATATTCTTGAATTCACTTCAATGAGTGATTGATTGAGAATATAGAATAGTTTCAAACTGATTTTCAGGTTCATCAATGGACTTGCAACCACAGTCTGACAGGAAACCTGATGTTGTTGATAAAATAACCATATTTGTTATATCACACATTTATGAAATGCAGGAGCTTTTTCTGCTGTATTTTCTTATGTATTAAAATTTATTTCACATTTTAATAAAAATATTTAAATTGAATTTAAAAAGTGTTGTAATTCGGAGAATAAAAATTAATACAATATTTTTTTAAACTTAGGGCAGATAGAATTGTTTGGTAGAATGTTATGTCTCATGTTACAAGAATCAGTGATGAGTAAATAAAACAATCCAGTTGAATGGGAAAAATGCATCCAGATCATGGAAATATTTTACGTAACTGTCTTTTAAAAATCATAAAATGTGCTGTACATGCATACATTCATTATCAGAGAATGGTTGTTTAATGAGAGAACATTTCTTATTTTTTGATGAGAATATTTTAAGGTCTGACGTCTATGAAAGCAATGAGATATTTGCCGTTTTTTTGATCACATCTTAGTAGTGATCCAGCAGGAGGTGTTCACTATTCTCCAGAGTCTCAGCATTAATAATATGACTCCGGAGCCGAGTTACCTTTGCGAGCTGGAACCACATTGTGCGATGTGTGTGATCCAAAGGAGCTTACAGAACCCCTGTGAGCAGCACGAAAAGCATTCAGGACTCCCACAGAAACCACAGTATGGGCTAAGCTTAAGAGACCTCAGACCCCCATAACAAATCATTGATTAGTTCTTGACTTCATAGTATGAAAAAGAAAACTGCGGCTTTAGGGAAATAAGTCAAACATATTCCTATAGGAGCGCTCTGGCTTCTGCCAGGACCTCAGGATGTTTACTTCCTCTAAATAGCAGGGCAGAGTAGAACTTGTGATTTTAATTTTGAGGAATAAAGAGACATTTGATGCACTCAGTATTTGTCCTCTTAATGGCCACATGACACGAGGAGACTCTCGGTTAGTGCATTAAGCCGTATGGGTACATAAAGAATGATGTACAAATTCTAATCTAATTACACTGAAAGTCCTTTCAAGTTGCTCTCGATGCAAAGGTCAAACACAAAGCGTTTAGTGTTGCGGCCTGCAGTCTTAAACCTCTATTGTTACCATTAACCTCTTTGCCTTCGCTAGACTGCGTACTAATCTGGCCCCTGGCTGTCTATTGTATATAAAGTGGGGTCATATCTTTCAATTATCAATCCACATTTTTCAGCTGGGCAACATTTGATGCACTCAGTATTTGTCCTCTTAATGGCCACATGACACGAGGAGACTCTCGGTTAGTGCATTAAGCTGTATGGGTACATAAAGAATGATGTACAAATTCTAATCTAATTACACTGAAAGTCCTTTCAAGTTGCTCTCGATGCAAAGGTCAAACACAAAGCGTTTAGTGTTGCGGCCTGCAGTCTTAAACCTCTATTGTTACCATTAACCTCTTTGCCTTTGCTAGACTGCGTACTAATCTGGCCCCTGGCTGTCTATTGTATATAAAGTGGGGTCATATCTTTCAATTATCAATCCACATTTTTCAGCTGGGCGTTCATATCCGAGTTTTTCAAACAAAGGCATGTGGAATGGGTCCACTCTGTGTAAAAATGTCACAGCTGATAGAAGGGCACCATTTCAGAGGAGTCTGGCCTACCAGAGTGGGGCATTGATGCTCTACTCGGCCACTGTGCTCCTGTTAAAAATAACCCTCTGCCTGTCTGACTGGACAGGCAGAGTTGGGAAATTATCTCCAGTAAAGCCCCCTCTCTGTGCTCCTCCACAGATGGATATAGCGAGGGCGCAGATATAGATAAACAGGCAGACAGAAATCAATGCCATCCTCTCACTCCGCCATACAGTCTGACAGCAAGACAAATACGACATGCTGAAGGGAAACTTTGGCTCAGGAAAAAAAAAAACAGAGATAAACATCTTATAAATATCCATCAATCAGTGGAACATCTGATCTTTTGGCCTTCTCTGCGTGTCGGTGTGCGTAGGAAGGGATTTATACTGGAAAGACACCCATTTGGCAGTCTCGTTTCTATGATTAAGATACATGAGATATCTGTTTGCATTGGGTAAATATAGGTCTGTCTGAAACATGATAGTGAAGGATACATTCAGTATTGTATCTGTGAAGTGTTGTTCAACAACACAGAGGTGTGTCTTGGTGGTTCCCGAGGGGTATCGGGTCTTTTAGTGTCTCTCATGCCGAACAACAATTCTAACAATTGTTAGATTGCATGGCTTGTAAGACAGGATACACATTGTTTATGGTTTATAAGAAATGGATTGTGGCCAAATTTAATAGTTCCCTTATATCTCCTTAAGGACTACTGAAGTGACACTGTATTCATTAACCAGATCGGGCTGTGGCAAAGTTTGCTGTGCTGAGAGAAAAGGCAACAAGAACCCAGTGTTACACTTTGGGGTGGGCGGAATGAGCAATTAATGATGCCCTCTTGTGGACAAACGTTTTTTTTCTAGTGGACAAAACTATGTTCAATGACCCATTTAAGTAAAATTTAGCTTCTTGTGATTATTTGTTTGTTTATTTATAAACACGATCATGTATTTATTTATACATTTTATCGGTATTAAATTTTTTCCACTACAAAAATTAGCTTGAGATCTATCAATAATTGGTAGTCCCTCTGTTGAAGACCCCTTTGATGCAGAGAAATGTTCAGTCTGCTTCAGTATACTGACGTTTTATTAATACTTAAATACTATTATTTGGAGTGAAAATAACGATAGACATTTTGTGCAAAAGAACTTGTATACACATTTTTTATTATCATTTTTGAAAAAGCAAATATATTGTACATTATAAAAATATATATATTACAGCTAGAGTAATGTGATTGTAATTTTGATCTTGTAAAACATATTTAACAATTTATAAAAGTGCACTATACTAATATGTCCTAAATTTTAATAATTACTTGGTGCAGTTCTTGTTCTTAAAAAGATTAAAATTCATTTCAAAGTCTTTCATGGAACCAAAAAACAGCTACAAAAAAAAAATAAGTGCAACAAACAGTCTAAAGCATGTGCCAACCTTTCTAGGTTAGAGTCATGTTTAGGAAGTTAAGAATTTCAGGAAACACCGCAGTGAGGAAGTCCAGAATGACCCACATCCTGCCCGTAAAACCTTCTCACTATATTGAAAATAATTTTGTGGGTTTATCAACCTTGTTTTAATTTCAGTAACAAATGAGTCACCGTGTTGAAATATGCAGGTCCTAGAAGAGCAGTCGTGTGGATATATTTGAGGAGAAACATTTAACTGCAGAGTTATGGCCTCGACTTCCCACAGTGAACCAACGTCATGATAAGATAAACCATGTTCAGTGGAGCCTTAAGACAAGAAGCTTGAAAAGCACATTAAAAGAGTCTGAAAGTACTCATATGGATAAATATATCATGTGGGTCCATTAGAATTTAACTTCCTTGGAAATGTATGGCAGGGGGTTTATTCTAGAGGTCCAGTTTGAGCTTGTCTATGTCGTAGTCATGGTCCTGGTCCAGTTTGGAGAGGGTCTTTCGCACACGCAGAGCAGTGAGTCGAGCTGAAGGGCTTTGGAACCAGCACTCTTTCATAATCTTCGCAATTGCAGACAGGATCTTGACAGAAAAACATATAGAAAGAGTAGATAATCATTTGTTTTGTCATTTCTGATGGTCACATGTTCCTCTCGGTGTGCAAATGCATGAATATATAAGTGACTGGAGTTCATTTCAAATCAAACTACCAAAATAGACACAAAGAAGTGACCCAGATTTCGCTGTATTTCAACTTCAATTCCAAATTCACCCACTTCTGAGACAAAACAATAGGATTTTGTGAGAACGGTGTTGATGTGTCATGCTAGCTTTGAAATATGTGTGATATCGGATTTGTCTTTCAAAACTGTTAGTTGTTTGCGTTTTTTTGGATTTCTCTTCTGAGCAGATACATTGTAGGAGGGAGTATGTGTATGTGGCAGACATAAAAGAGTCTAATATGGCAAAACAGTTTCAACAAGAGATATGGACTCAAAGGGAGAATTATTTTCAAATGCAAATTGCAACAAATTTAGCCACTAGCTTGCAAGTCTGCTACTCTTCACATGGCTGCTGAATAGCTATCTTGATAATGGCATTAAACAGGATAAATGTAAATTTCCATCCATTTTCTATGTTGCATATGCAATAAATAAGCTCTGTACAGCAAGCCTAAAATTAAAGTCCACAAGATTATTTTCAGTGACATCATAGACTGACAGAATATTTTGTCCCACACACATTTAATGCTTTCCTAATAAATTGCTCCAGACTACAGCTGTCAAAGCAAAGCCTTGTGTAGCGTCTGACTAGAGTCCAAGTCTTCTGAGTCATTGAGTCTGTATCTCTGGCATGTTTGAGTATCTCACCGGATGAGAGTGTAGTCGATTGTGGAGACTGGGCCTGTGCTGGTCAACACACACCACTTTCTTCATCTCCTCGAAACTTGGGTCAGAGGGCACCACGTCAAAGAACGGCGGTCTGTACTCCTCCACAATCCCTGAGAAAACCACAGAATTAAGGGATTTTATGGGTTTTTGTCAACATTTGCTGACTACATTGCATTTGAATTTTTACTGACAAAAATGCAAGATGTGTGCTGAGACTGAAAGTCTCTTCTGACCATATCTATAAAACAGTGGTTTGGGAGTTTGAAGGCTGGCAGTACTAATACTTCTGTGGGAGGATGGCTGGAAATTATCCAGGGAGTCTATGAGCAGCTTATGGCAGCTGACATTATGGGGTAAAAAGCTATAGTGAGACCATTAAAAAAGTTTTTGTTGTTGTTGCATTTACTTAAAACAGAATTTATATAAAGAAGTGTTTTAAAAATGCAAATTAGTAGCTTGCATATTTACACACTAACCATTAAAAAGTTTGGAGCCTGTAAGATTTTTTTTAATTATAGAAGTTAATACTTAAAGTCGGAAGGAGGCATTAAATTGATCAAAAGTGACAGTAAAGACATTTATAATGTTATAAAAGCTTTCTATTTCAAATAAATGCTGTTATTTTAAACTTTATATTCATCAAAGAATCCTGAAAAAAATGCATTACAGTGTCCACAGAAATATTAATAATATTAATGCTTTTTAAAATATAGCTTTGCCATCATAAAAATAAATTACACTTTAAAATGTATTCAAATAAAAATAGCTATTTTAAATCGTATTACCAGTTAAACTGTATTCCCAGTTAAATAAATGCAGCATTGGTGAACAAAAGAGAAAAAATCTTACTGATACATATATCCTATACTACAAGAAAGATGCATTTGACTATTGTTTTACAGTTAGTACATATTACATACAAATTATATATAAAGGGTTGATTAAGTGCTTCTTAAAAAGTGAGTGTGTGTGTGTGAGAGAGCAAGAAAAGAGAGAGAGAGAACAAGCGCATCTGGACTACATGAGCGGGAGTGTTGACACCAGATAAGATTGTTTATAATTATTGGGCCGCTAATCGTGGGTGGATAGAGGAGACAGACGTACCCATGGAGAAAAAACTGAGGGAGGTTCATCAAAGAATCCTGAAAAAAATGCATTACAGTGTCCACAGAAATATTAATAATATTAATGCTTTTTAAAATATAGCTTTGCCATCATAAAAATAAATTACACTTTAAAATGTATTCAAATAAAAATAGCTATTTTAAATCGTATTACCAGTTAAACTGTATTCCCAGTTAAATAAATGCAGCATTGGTGAACAAAAGAGAAAAAATCTTACTGATGCATATATCCTATACTACAAGAAAGATGCATTTGACTATTGTTTTACAGTTAGTACATATTACATACAAATTATATATAAAGGGTTGATTAAGTGCTTCTTAAAAAGTGAGTGTGTGTGTGTGTGAGAGAGCAAGAAAAGAGAGAGAGAGAACAAGCGCATCTGGACTACATGAGCGGGAGTGTTGACACCAGATAAGATTGTTTATAATTATTGGGCCGCTAATCGTGGGTGGATAGAGGAGACAGACGTACCCATGGAGAAAAAACTGAGGGAGGAATGGAGGGGAAGACGAAGAAACTTATGAGGAAAAATAAATAGAGAAGTCTATCACAACTATCAGAATGGTGAAAATCGTTGCTTGGCATCAGAAAACCGAAAGTTAGTTAGAACATTGTGATCCTGCAGTCAAAGAACTTTTCACTGAATGTTGCAATGTGCAATGAAACAAATTATTATTTGATAAGTCTCAGCATATTCGTTTTTGGTATCAATACTGAATGTATCACTTTTAAACGTATTTAAAATTAATTCCAAGTCACAAGAGCACAGGACAGCAGTGGTGCCACCAAATGAAGTTGAATATTTTCTCCATCTTACCGTTTACAATAGTTTGACGAGTTATCTCCCACAATACGAGACCCAGGGCCCAGATGTCAGTTTGTTTATAGGACTCAAAAACGTCAACACGAATACTCTCATCCAAAACCTCCGGTGCCATATAACGCTTGGTGCCCACTCTGGGGTTGTTGCCCACATCCAGATAGTCATTAGACTGAGAGTGAATGACAGCCAGGCCTGAGAGGGCACACAGAAGACAGATTATGTTAAAAAAACAATCATGTTTTATGCAGTTGCAAAGGTGTTCTTGTGGTTCTTACAGTGTTCTGGGTGGTTTCCAGGGTATTGTTATGCTATTGCTAAAGTGTACTGAATGTTTTTAGTATATTTTTATTTTTTTCTGGTGGTTGCTATGGTATTTTGCTAGATGATTACAAAGGTGTCCCACGCCTCTGTGATATCCTGGTAATCAGAACACCTCACCTCAACCAGCAGGACAATTTGAGCAGTCATTAATTTCTACTTTCTCACCCAGGTCTGCGATGCAGCACTGGCCATTTCTCTTCATCAGAATGTTGCGGCTCTTCAGGTCTCTGTGTGCAATGGCCGGTTTGCCCTGTGTACTGAAGATCTCCGTGTGGAGGTGCACAAGGCCGCTGGCGATGGACAGGCACATGCGCAGACAGCCCTCGGGGTCCAGCGTGCTGTACTGCAGGAAGTCATAGAGGGAGCCCAACTCATGGAAGTGTGTGACCAGCCACAGCTGAGTGCTCGAGTTTTTAGACGTCATGTCTGATGCTATGAAGCCTGATAGACGGACAGAGAACATGTGTAAGAGAAGTATTACATATTTAAATCGAACGTTGTTAAATTTCTTCATTGGAAAAATTATGTTTGGGTAAGTCAGAACATATTGTGGCTGCAGCAGTACTCGCAGAACGATCCCTTCCCACACAAGCAATGAAAAATGCAGTGTGGGTGGAACTTACCCAAGATGTTTTCATGCCTTAGTTGGACCGTGTTGTAGATTTCAGTCTCTCTAAACCAGGACTGCTCATCACGAGAAGAGAAAATCTTGACAGCCACACTCTCTCCCATCCAGGTGCCTCTCCATACCTCTCCATAACGCCCTTTACCTGTAAGAAACATTAATAATGAAATTAGATGCATAGTATAGTGCTGTATAGCCATCATGAGTGCACTACTGCACTACTGCATTATTGTATTTCATATTTTAAAACAAATTTAATAATAATTTAAAAAATGCTTAAAATATCTTTCAATCCACAAGTTACACTAAATTCCTTTTATAGTATGAATAGTAATATTACTGGTTATATATATATATATATATATATATAAAAGAATAGTATACATTTTAATAAAGTATTAGTAATAACCAAATAAATTAATTAATCATTATTAATAGTATTATAATCAACAACAGCAACAATTCTACTAACTACTACTAGTAGAAGTAATAATAATAATAATAATAATATATATTTCAATCCACAAATACGCTTATTTAAAATTGTATAATATTAATAATATTATTTGTAATATAATACATTTATTATAACAATAATATAATTATAATTTAAATGAGTGTAATCTAAAATATATTTAATCAATTATGGTAGCATTTAAAATATTAAAGTATTTAAATTTAAAGTACATTTCAATAAATATGACACCATCCACTCAATCAAACTCAATGATGAACAGTATGAAAAAAGAATAAAAAAATCTCTTTAAAAAGAAAAAAAAGATGCAGCATGACATATATCAACCTCCTAGATTCATAGCATCACCCTGTAGTTGTTTCAACCTCTGCCAATGCAGCATTGTGTAATGAGATGTTGATGATGAAATGAGATGAATGTTCTCTCACCAACACATTCAACCAGAGAGATCTGTCGAGCCATGGTCCTCTGCACCAGATAAGGGAGGCCGGTCCCACTGCCCGACGTGCAAAACTCATCAAAGATATCCTAAAAAGGAGAAGTAGACACTTAGATTACCGACCAGCCGAAAAATCACACGCAATTTGAATAACAACTCAGAGCAGAACATTTTGCTCAGAGGCTGCTCAGGAGACTGAATTAAAGATCTCAACTCTATTTCAATTAACAAATTAACTTTATCTCAGATATTTATCTTTTGATTAGAAACTTTGGGATCTCAAGCACAGTTTATGACATTGTGAGACATATTTGAGATTACAAGGGTATTTTTCTCCATAGGTAAAATCTGAGAGGTCGAAAACTCTCCATTTTCTGTCCACTGAATCTCATTGTCTATGACAGTGGTTCTCAAACCTGTCCTGGAGTACCCCCCAGCCCTGCACATTTTGTATGTCTCCCTCATCTATCACACCTGATTCAACTCATCAGCTCATTAGTGGAGACTGCCAGACCTGAAGTGGGTGTGTCAGATATAGGGAGACATACAAAATGTGCAGTGCTGGAGGTACTTCATGGAGAGGCTTGAGAACCACTGGTCTATGAGAAACAGCTGAATTTTTTTTCTTATGTAAATAAGAGCACAAAAATCAGATAATAATCATTAAGACCAGTTCATTACAAATATGCTGTGAATGCCACCCAGCAGTAACGTTTTACCTCATATGCTGGGTCCCCTCCACTGGGGACTTTGAGCATGGAAGTGTCGTGGTGCTGTCGCCTTGTACGCAGCCACAACACGAGCCCACAGGCTACAATAGACAACACCAGCAGCACCAACAATGGCACTCCCACCAGCAGAATCACTCTGATGGACGTTTCCACTGGAAACAGACACAACAGAGAGTAACATCACTGTACCAGGCCAACTGAAAAAAATAGCGATGTTAATTTATGTGTGTGTATATATATATATATAAATATAAATGTGTGTGTGTGTATATACACGCTAAATGCAGCATATATAGCTAATATAATATGCAGGATATTGATTTTTCAAATTTTATATAACATTTTAAGCAGATTTTTTATATATTTTGGCATTTGAAGGTTTAAACAATATTATAGCATAAAAAAGGGCAAGAAAATAAATTTCCAATCCTAAAATACATTTTGCATTTTGATTAGAAATATGTTAAAATGACCAAAACATATATGAGGAATAACTAACTAAAACTCAAGCACAAGTTTAAACCCTGTAAAACACCAATATAACAGTAGAAGGCAGCAGAGAGTAAAATTTACAGATGTCAGGCCAACTGATGCAAAAGTCTCTTTGATTTTAGTAATGAATCTCTGTATTAACTCTAAAACGAGTAACTGTTTTCTGAGCTAAACAGATGTTTAAAAAAAATTACTTACCTGTTTTTTCAGGCACACTTAGGTTTGCATTGCAGAGGTGTGTGAAGCAGCACTTGGAATACACTTCGGGTACTTTAGGCACATGGCATTGCTCGCTGGTGGGAAAACAGCCCCTGACTACCTGCTCATAGACCGAACTGTAGAAGCAAATGCGACCCCAGCAGGTGTTGTTTAGGCAAGCATATGTGTTCTCACAGCTGCACTGTAAAATGTCCTCTTCACCTTCATCTATGGTCAAGACAGCGATAATGTAAGTAAAAATTATGTTTGAGGAATATTACAATATTTCAGCCGATTATATATACTGTGTATATGACGGCTAACTCACCATTCTCTGGGGGAGAGTCTGCCAAAACGTGATTTGAAAAAAATAAACATGCAACTGTGTCTAAAAAGATGTCCAAACAGAGCAGGAAGATACATGCTTCCTCTGGCTTATTGTCTACTCAGGAAGCAAATATCTACATCACCCGGCTAGTTTTCGTGTAACACTGTAAATATGCACACACAAAAACTAGTGTGACTGCAATTATGTAACCTCACCTGCGAGAGTTGCATATCTCCCTGAACACACCAAAACAAACAGTACAGTGAGCATCTCTGAAGCCTTCATGTCTAGGAAAGAAGGAATACAGAATACAGGGTAAGAGCGAGCACTTCGACACACACACAAAAAAAACTTCTAGCTCATTCCATTTATTCTTGTATGCATATCCCATGCTCCCTTGCACCATCCTTCGATGATCTGGCATTTACAAGGCAACGCTCCATGCTGGAATCATATAATGGCATAATCATACAGTGACATGTAGTGTAGGAATCTCTTTTCAAGCCCTAATGGAAAAAAGCTCAATAAACCCTGTCCACACCAAAGGAAGTCATGAGCTAAAGAATGACAGATGGAGAGGGTCCAGTCAGTCTGTCTGTGTTGCAATAATATTCAGAGTGGGTGGGTGGGAGAGGACTTTAGTGGAGGCCTCGCTCTCCTCTGTGCCACTGGTCCTCGCAGACACTCTGGCTGCTGCACACGCAGAGTAAATATTGATGGCTATACTTCCTGCCATTCAGAGGCCGCACCCGGCTAGGTCTGGAAGTCGACTGGTCACGCAAGCAAAATGGCTGAGTGAAAGCCTATTATATGAAGACGATGGAAAACCTGCATGCTGAAGTGTTGGCCTGTCATCCAGGCCACTTTCAACAAGCAATAAGTGAAAAAATACATTAATTTATGCTATAATAATATTAAGAGTTCTGAGAAAATCTCTAGCATCATTTGTTTGCAGGTGCCTTTTTTAATCTAATTCAGTGACATTCATATATTTTTAAGTTATTAGGTGACCCAAATTAGCCGAATTCGTTCTGTGATCATTGTATAACAGTAGGATGCTGAAAAAAAGAACATTTTCGTGTTGCCCCAACACTGTAATTAAAGTATGAATACTATATACTTATGTGATGTCATGGAAAAACCGAGTCAGCCATGATGTTTTGAAATGGATCTGTAATTAGAGCCAGAGTTGCTCCTTCCCTTTCTGAAGAAATGGCATACACATAAAACTGACTTCAGCGATATGTATGCAAAGTGATATGTATGAGAAGTTTCCTTGAATGTTTAATCTATTTAATCTGTGATATTTGTTGCTACCTGCAATACATTTGAAATAAGTGAATGGCATTATGGGATGCAAGCCCACACACAAATATAGGGTAACTGGAAATGACAATGACCACTTCCTGATATAGAAACACATAGAGCGAGATCCCAGCATGAGTCACTTTGTCTGTGGAGTAGTCTTTTAAGGACTCCATTTAAGCCCACCAATGTAAGCGCAGGTGGGTCAGTGTAAACAACTTTGTCACGTACGCTTAGTGCACAAAAATGAGTAATTGCTGGGCCCTCTGGGCCACATTTAAGGTGGAAAACAACCCCACCCTTTTGGAAATGCTCTCTTCTCTCTGGGTACACTGATCTTTATTTCCAAGCTGCCAGGATGTTTCTCAAATCAGATAGTGTCCGTCTTGAATCAAAGCCTAAAGTGAATATGATGAAATGCGATTCCTGTTTCGATGACCTGCTTGTCAGCATTCTCCCATGTAAGACCCAAAGGAACTAACAGTGCACTTTTTTATTCTCCTTCCACTTTTCTCAGCACTCATTTTATGAAATAGAATAAACCCTTTGCTGCTCACAGCTTTGTTTTGTCATTTATGTTAACATTTATTTAGGTTAATTATTATTTAGGTTAATTATTTCTAATAGTAATTATATTAAAGTGACTTACAACTACCCTGTCAGGTAGTGTGAATATAGGGAATGCTTTTTTATTAGAATATTTTGAGTTATGAATTATGAATTGGGTTATATTTTTTTATGAATGCATAAGTGACAGTGAAAGTCTGAAGTCCTGTAACTGGTGACAATTTATTTTCATTTTTCATTTTCATATTTAGTTCATTTTAAGCTATGACGGGACTGTGTGTATAATGATAATGATTATAAAAGAATGAGCAAAATTCTGTTTAAAAGAGTTTAGATGGAGTATAGCATGTCAAGGGGAATTTCAGCATTCAGCAGCATATCTCTGACTACATCTTGCAGCTGTAGGAACTTGCCTGTTTTGACTGCAGTTAAAAAGGACTGGTACGCCTCAGTGTATTTGTAAGCGCCAGCATTTCACAGTTAGAGAGATAAATGATCTGACTTCACGGTTCTGTGTTTTTCATTTAGGGCTCTGTGTCAGTCAGTGCAACAAGTATTCTTGTAAAACATGGTGTGCAACGATGTCTACACAGAATACTGGTATTTAAGCTATTGCAATAGTTATTACATTATTTAAATTCTTGTAATAGTTCATTCTAATACTTAAGCAATGTGATATATAATGCGGCCTACCATTGTTGGCACATTATTGTATGACAACATCATCCAAGTCTCAGATACTGCATCATTATTAGGCATATTACACAGACACACATTTAAAAATGACCAACTTGTAACACATATTTTAAATGTCCTTCTGTTATCTGACAACTCGCATGCGAAGAGAACGTTCCTCAAATTTGAATTTAAAGGATGAAAGAGAAAAAACAAGACTATGATTTATGTTTTTCTGGATGTTGTGATTGGTTTAAATTAAAATCGCTGCAACTGTCCCTTCACAATGGTAAAGAAGCTCTAACCAAGCATTTATCAACTATTCATGACCCTTTCATTAAAAACGTTATCAATTTTACACTCTAAATAATAGTATTAATATAAATTCATGGTTTACGCCACATTCACCATCAGAGCAATTTCAGAGAGATAGATAGATAAAAAAGAGATAAGAAAACATGAAGGGTGGTTTACCTGATTTTCGTCTTGTGCTCACTCACGAATTAAGTTGATCAAACTTCATCTGTTTATGAAACTCGTCTCTCATTACTCAAAACATAAAAGTATTATCTCCTAACGGCGAATATAGTGAAATCAGCGGCGCAAGTCATATCCAGATGTGCTGGATCCTTAACTTTTGCCACATCCTGGCACTCTCGGTGTAAACTCTAGTTAAACTCTTTACAGTTCAGTTTTCATTCACGCACAATCCGATCAGTCCTATTTCCTCAAGCGAAATATGGTGTAGACGCAGAACATGTCGAGTCGTGGCATATATCTCCAGTCAAATCTCGAGCTGATAAACCGAAAACAAGAAACTACTTCTCGGAGAAGAAACAGGCTTCTTCCGCTTTGAAATAAACATTCCCTGATCGACTCCTGACGACTCCATCTCGATAAGTGTAAAGCAAACTTTGAGCAATGTTCTTGATTTAGGGGTTAGATTACAGATTTTAAAATCTACAGTTTTGTCCCACCCCTCATTGTCTAAGCCGGGGTTCACTAGGAATGTGCTCTCATAGCTGTTTTCCTGTTGCTGCAAGACCTTTCATTTTTTCCACGTCTGTTTTTTTCTTCTTCCCTCATAGCTGGTTGCTTATGAATAGAACTTCATAGAGGATTCATGTGCCTTCTGAGCAAAACACATCTCAAATGTGATCTCCATTTGGTCATCTCCGTTTGTGCGGAGTGAAATGAAAAATGCATTTTAGGATATTATTTAAAATAAATGGATTAAACCAAATTGTTTATCATTAAAGTTGTTTAACTGCAGGGTTTTTGGGTGCGGTGTAGCCATAATCTAAAAGATCTGAGCTGGTAACCAAAACTGTTTGAAACCTTGCAAGGTTTGAATAATGAACTGTTATTTTCTTGAAATGCTTGCTCTTGTCATTTAATATTGCAGTTTGGAATATTTGACAGCAACTCAATTCACATTTAGAAATCATTTATAATAATAATTTATCAAAAGTTTAGGGTTGTAATTGTTTTGTAATGTTTTTGAAAGAAGTTGCTTAGGTTGCCTTTATTTTATCAAAAAATACAATAAAAATACAGCAATATTGTGAAATATCATTACAGTTTCAAATAACTGTTTTCTATTTGATTATATTTTAACATTTGATTTATTCCTGTGATATCAAAGCTGCATTTTCAGCAGCCATTACTCAGTGTCACATGATCCTTCAGAAATCATAATAAAAAGTATATAATAATAAAAGCACTTTATTAAAAAAAATCTTTTGAACACTAGTGTACACTCAACTATAATAGAATATGAACAAATTCCAGTCAAAATGAAAAAATGGCATAACGAATGACAACAGCGAGAATATGTATGTCTTCATTTATTCAGAATATGCTAGTTATGTAATGTAAGATCATTTTCACAAATTCACATAAAGACTAGAATTTAGACCTTAATCTGAAAATTATACAGTGGGTACGGAAAGTATTCAGACCCCCTTAAATTTTTCACTCTTTGTTATATTGCAGCCATTTGCTAAAATAATTTAAGTTAATTTTTTTTCCTCATTAATGTACACACAGCACCCCATATTGACAGAAAAACACAGAATTGTTGACATTTTTGCAGATTTATTAAAAAAGAAAAACTGAAATAACACATGGTCCTAAGTATTCAGACCCTTTGCTCAGTATTTAGTAGAAGCACCCTTTTGATCGAATACAGCCATGAGTCTTTTTGGGAAAGATACAACAAGTTTTTCACACCTGGATTTAGGGATCCTCTGCCATTCCTCCTTGCAGAGCCTCTCCAGTTCTGTCAGGTTGGATGGTAAAAGGTTGTCAGTGATAAGCAAAACTGGTGATCCTGAGGCCCTAAATTGCTTTTTGGACACAGATGGACAGTTGGTTTATTTAATTTATTTTATTTAAGGCAGGGAGCCCTGAAGTTATGGTGACGTCTCCCACTAAAGCTTGAAGCCTCCCATATGGTCAATGAGGCAGAGAGGAATCTCAGCTAACAGCATGACAGCTCTTACAGATATGATGGAAACAAATATCCCATCTTGCATTCATTACAACATAATCAAGAAATAAGTTCCAAGATTTATATTAACTTAGACTGCATCATAACACATGAGAGAAAATGGCCATGCAGTTTTTTCTTTTGGAGACCTCTTCAATCTGCTTTCTTGACTGGTGTTTTCAGACACAGCTGGCACTCCTCAGATCTGAGGAGAGGAGAAGAAGAACTGTTATTTGAACAGCAATTGTGTGTTTATTTATTCTGTTCCCATGATATGTGTGATTTTGAGGTCTGTCTTTTCTCAGACTTCTATTAACAGCAGCACACATGAACTGTTTCCACATGACTGATGGAAATCCTTTTTGCTGAGAAATTATTTTGAGCAGAGGACAACAAATCCACTTCCCTTTTTACCACTTATTTAAATAAATCAGAACTATCAATTCTCTAATATTCTCGAATGTATAAAAATCCCACAGGTCTGAAATGAATGATGCTTTGTTTGAAACATTTTAAAGGAATAGTTCACCCAAAAACGAACATTTAGCCTACTTAAAATGTATTCACCCTCTGGCCATCCAAGATGTAGATGAGTTTGTTTCTTCATTGGAACAGATTTGGAGAAATTTTGCATTATATCACTTATTAGCATTACATTACTCTGCAGTGAATGGGTGCCATCAGAATGAGAGTCCAAACTGCTAATAAAAACATCACAATACGACTGCAGTCCATCAATTAACATCTTGTGAAGTGAAAAGTGGCTTTTTTTTAATGAAACAAATCCATCAAGATGTTTTTAACTTCAAACTGTTGCTTCTGGCTATCCATAATATTGCTTTCTCCAGGGAAAAAGTGTTCTCGGCTAAATCAGGAGAGGAATATGCATAGATCAAGCAACATTTACAAGTGAAAACAGTTCTAAACAAATATGTTGGTGGATTTTGATGTTGGGGGACAACAGCTGATGGACTTTTTCATTGGAGGAAGCATTATTATGGATTATCGACTGGTATTTTGGCCAGAAAAGACCGTTTAAAGTTAAAATGTCTTGAGGGATTTGTTTCTTACAAACACGCAGCTTTTCATCATTGATGTTTTTATCAGCTATTTGGACTCTCATTCTGACAGCACACAGTCTACACTACAAATTGAAGATAAAACTGCCTTCGGCAGTTTATTTCTGCATATTCCTCATTCAGAAAAGGAACAGCAGGACATGATACTGAACAAAAAATAAAAAATAAACTTGTGAAAAAACTGTTGCTCAAAATGTTTCGCCCAGCCTGTAATTTGGTTTACATGGCTTTACCTCACTTCACTTAAAGGCAAAGATCTGATCAGTTACGTAAGGATGGCACAATGAGTAGATTAATTTCCAAGTCCACTTGTCCTCCTTTGTGTTTTGACCTCACTGTTTCAATTATAGCCTCGCCTTAAGCTTAGTGATTGGTTTAAAACCTCCAGTGATATCATGGAACAAGTTGAACAGTTGATGAGCACCATTGACTTCCATAGCATTTTTTTTCCTACTCTTACACAAAAGAAAATATCTTCTTTTGTGTTCAACAGAAGAAAGAAACTCATACAGGTTTGGAACAAGTGGGGGGTGAGTAAATGGTGACAGAATTTTCATTCTGAAAGTTAACTACTCCTTTAAACTTTGCGGATAATTATAATTAGTTTGAAACGTGAAAGCACCGTAAACAATCTGATAAACTATGCATTGACAGTAAAGTACAGTACAGGATGCGTTTCAGTAAATATACATGGATATTACAGTGCTGTGTTTATAAATAGCTATTTCTTTGTTTCACATTCTGAAGAGCAGATAGCAGCGCAGCTCGCGTCTCATCTCCAGCAGTCAGGCAGGATGCTGATGCACAGGTGTTGCAGGGGACAGGGGACTAAAATTATGCACATAACTGGAATGATATAAGGCTGGAGGATGTGAATTCTGTTTTAGATTGTTATAAACCACATGGAATTTATAATTTATAGAGTCTTGTGTCTCCTGAAAGAAAAAAAACTGATTGAATAAAACACGAAATGTGATATTTGGTCTAATTTGCTTATGCCATTTTGTATATTACTACGTAGACAAACATGAAAATGAAACATAATTCAGTCAATAATCAAGAAATGTGCTATGGCACATAGTGAAATAGGAATCTGGGGGTAATGTGCTTTATAAAACTTGTTTTTGTGAAGGAAACTCACAAGGACACTTTTAGACGCAAAAAAGGGACAATTTTACTCCTTTCGGTTATAATTCAATAACTCCTGTTTAGAAGCTGTTATTTGAAAGTTAATTTTTTTCTGGTACATCTTGGCACCTAGGGTAATCAAACAATATAAGTTGCAGAGAGCTAGAGCAAATAGAACCTGAATAACAGACTTAAAAAAAAGTGCCTATGTTTTTTTTAGTGTTTATTGTAATCTTTAAAACCTATATAATGTTATTTATGAAGAATTACAATCATATTTTGTAGTTCAAAGGGTTTTCTACACAATGACACAATTTTTTATTTCCTCCATTGTATGTGTGTATGGTAAACATTTGAATTTGGGTATGTCAAATTTAGGTGAAAATACAAAAAAACGCCCCAGTTGAATTAGTCTCTTTTTTAGTTGTTGTTTGTTTTATATGTTTCATCCAACTAATATCACAAACATATATATATATATATATATATATATATAGAAACAGAAACAC